AGAGTAAAGCTTTGACAATATTAGACAGCACTTGTCTGAACAACCAAATGCAAAGTAAATTGGATTTCTTCCTAAGAGTACCAGCACTTCTCATTTCAATGTCATGCATCGCTGTGTACACACTCTCCAACAATTAGCCATGCACGCTAAAAAAATCTTTCAAAAAGTTGCTAAAAAGTATTCAAAATCCTTCAGTTTCATTCAATCTCTATTCATGTCAAAGCACTTTGCAGATAATCAATGTCAAGTGCAGCGACTGTATTTGTTGACAGACAATGACAGCCAATTTGGGAAAGCCAATGACCCACATACCAAGCAATAAGGTTAATGACCAGTTTAGCTGGAGGGTTGTTTGTCATTGGATCTGGAATGTCCACCTAAACAGGCAGACGTGACCTGACTTGTTACAATCTGAAGGACGGTGTCTCTGATAGTGTGGAGATAGAAAGAGGGCGGGGGTGACATGGTTGGAGGTCAGGGGAGAAAGGACTGAACATTTCTCCACCAATGGTGGGTGGATCAAGCCGGGGGGCGTGTGTTTACTGAATGCAGGGAGGTAGGGTTGCAGGGTGTGGTGGGGGGCAGCCACAAAGGTAGAGTGAGGGGGTGTTGGGGTGCGTGAGTTAAACATGAAGACAAGGATCTTCAATTTGTTCTTTTCTTTGCCCAGCCGGGTGTCTGGCACATGTGAAAACCCATCACCATACTTAAGAGTATTCAAACCAAGCTGAGAATTCCCTGCATCCCACCTCACATAGAAATCCCAGAGATAGATTGTTGGAATGGAATATGCGCTCTCTCTCTCTCTCTCCCTCCCTGGAGGGACGTCCCCTGCTTACCTGATTCTGGAAAGTATTAGGTGCAAGTTGGTAAGATCCAAGGTTTGGGGAGCCCAGAGTGCGGGTTGGAGTAACTGCTGGAGTCTAACCAGCTAAACCCACATAGTGATTGATATTGCTGTCGGGCAAGCTTTCCGACTGCTTGTCCAGCTAGGACTATCACAGGGCTAGGGCTTTGGCTTGCTCTGTGAGGGGCCGGGGAGACAGTGGAAGCAAGCAAAGGTGGGGTGATAGGCTCGTGGAGTCTCGTGTGGGGGAGGACACAGGCTGATGATTACTGGGTGGCCTGTAGAATGAGTCGGGAGGAGTTAGGGAGCCTGGCGAGCAGAGCATTGGAATAATTAAGCCCGGAGGTGATGAAGGGGTGAGCAGCCCAGAAGAGAGGTAATGACTGAGGCAGGCGATCTTGTAGAGGTAAATGAAAGCAGAGGTGAGAGCTCAGATATAGGATTCATCCCCAGACACTGGCCTGCTCCACCATTACAGGTTGGGATATCTGCTCTCAAACTCCATCCCTGAGCCCCTCCGCCTGGACAGTCAGGGATTTGGACCTGAGATGGGGTTCGGGATCAGGGAGGGCAGGGAGGGTAGGGGGTGATAGCCAAAAGCACGATTGAAGAGGAAGGTTTTCAGACATGCTTTGAAGGAGGCAAAGGGAATGTGGGATAGAGTTGATGTAATTTGTTATTGTTGTTGTCTCAAAACACTTCACAGAAGATACTCTAAAGTGAATTGACTGTATATTTTATGGGCAAAACACAGAGACCAATTGCTCACAGATGAGATAAAACACTTGTGTGGTTGAAATGGAAGCTTCCAAGTGTATACTCATTGGGTATAGAGAAATATTATCATTTGCTTCATTAAATAAGTTACAAGTCCTGACACTCCTGGTTTGACTGGTGCAAAAAAAGGAGTTATTTTATGAAGTGCCATTAAATTTTGATGCCAAGTACGTGTCAGTCAGAAAGTAGCAGACTTTACTGTTCGCTGGACCATTATAATTTTCTAGTTGAGTTTAACTCAGCAATAAACACCAGCATAAAGGGAAACAAAACACAAAATACTGCAGATGCTGGAAATCTGAAACAAAAACAGAAAAGACCAGCAGAAAGGGGACTGACTGACAGCGGAATCTCATATGGGAGATGGATCCAATCAATACAAGTAATTCTTAGATTTTCCTAATCCTTCACATCACTTATGCTCTCTCTTCACCCCCCACCCCAACATTTCTAACCTTTTCTATAATAAGTAACAATAATAGTATTTAATAAAGCACTTTAAACATCAAAAATGCCTCAAAGTGCTTGACTTGATTTACTGTAAAGCGATTGTGTGTTTGCAGGTGAATGCGGCAGTTTGTGCACAACATGTCCAAAAACAAACTTTTTTTAAAAAAAATGTTTTATCTGAGCCAAGATATCGGAAAAAAACTCCTTTCCTTTTGAGTCATGCCACAGGATCTTTAATGTCCACCAGAACAGATAAACAGAGAGGAATCAATTTCACAATACTTGTCCAGCTTGGATCACCCAACCCTTACGGCTTTGAGGCACACGCACAGTCCAGTTAAGTCTAATTATTATAACCCTTGTATTTGATGTAGCACCTTATCACATCATTGAAATGTCTTAAAGTGCTTCACAGGATATGCTGTAAAATGGAGCGACTATGTATTTTGCGGGCGAAACACAGCAGAACATTATGCACAGCAGTCTTCCACAAACTGCCATGGCGTCAGTGACTAATTTTATCCGGTGGATTGTTGGCCAGGTTTAACTTCTCACCTAAAGAATGGCCCTCTGACAATATAGCGCTTCCCCCTGCACGGAGTAAGAGCCCAATGTCACAACGTGGGGCATGGAACCACATCTTCATGACCCAGAGGTAAGCGTGCCAACAACTGAACCAGGCTGACAGTAAGTATAGGTTGCGACAGGCACTGACACTGCCCTTGTGCTGTTACTTTGTCTGCATTTCCTTGGCAAAACCTCTAACAGAATGAAAGCTCCATGGGGCTTATTCAAAGACGTCTAATGCAGATTGGATCTTTACATCGATTTAAAAATGGTACAAAATTGTAGACTGTTTTTGTGTGCCCTGCTCTCCCCCCCCCCCCCCCCCCCCCCCGCCAGCCCCGCCGCCAAAATCTCACTCAGCATGTTTCCTTTTTTTGTGTTTGCAAAGATTATCTATTAGCTGAAAGGCGTCTATCAGTGTCAAGAAAATTGAAGTCAATTTTAGATGCCTTTTTAACTAACATTTAACACTGTTAATACTTCAGCAATACTAACACCTCTATTCCCCTGCTTTGCTGCAATCCCCTTATTTTGTTTTGCATCATTAACACCTCTTTAACCCATCATCCCCTGTCCTCTAACCCATTTTCTCCCTTATTTTCCTTACCCTACCTTCCCCCCCCTCTGATAGCCCATAAAAACTTCTCCCTCCCAACATGTCCCAGTTCTGACGAAGGGTTGTGGACCCTAAATGCTGATTCACTTTCCTTTCTCCATAGATGCTGTCTGACCTGCTGAGTGTTCCCAGTATCGAAGGAATTATTACCCCGGGAAATCAACCTGCCAATGGTTTAACAACCCGGCTTCCTATGTACTGCGAGGTAAACACAAGTGTGTGGAGTAAGGAAACTTGCCCACCGTTTCGCCCTGCCGGAAATCAAACACAGATTTCTCACTTGCGAGACGAGTGCTCTAAACACTGACTATAGGATTCCTTAATGGATACCCAGACAATTGGAAGGCGTCATCTCATTGACAAGATAACTAGAGAATGATGGAAGGGCACGGCAAGGTGGATCAGTATTTGAAAGCGAAAGTTGTGTCTACGGTTTGAATGCGACCTTCACTCAGAACCCAAAAGTGAATTCAGATTCAATTTCTCGCTGCAATTTGAGTTATTTATGTGTTTTTTTTCTCCCTCTACCCCCTCGTTTAATCTCATTTGAAGAGTTCAGGCCAAGTTCACGAATGGAAAGGCAGAGCTGAAACGGTTTTAAATCACTCTTGAAATAACTCTCATGTACCTATTATTATTTATAAGCCCACATGTGTGATCCACAAAAGGTTGGTTCATTCCCCCCCCCACCTCCTTTACTGATTTTTTTTTAAACAAACATGATTATTTCACAAAGAAATCAACACTAAGAAACTAATGAGTGAACATTTATCAAGTGCTAATAGATGTTTAATTGCCAGGATATGATGCAATCAAAAGTTAAGTTAATTCTCCCCCCACCACCATTACCACACACACACAAACACTGTTTAGTGGAGCACTTTTGCTTTATTCCAGAAATTTCTCCCACTGTCCTGGCCAACAATTCCCCCCCAAATAAAATTCCTGTTTCACTGCCCTGTTTGCCTAAAAAAGTCACCACACCCGATAGTAAATCCTGTGAAGCACTTTGACACCTTAAACTATAAAGCGTAGTGATTGTATATTTTTCAAGCAGCCAATTTGCACACTGCAATGTCCAACAAATAGCCATGAAGTGAAGGAGCAATTGTATCTAGGGATATTGTTGGCCAGAACACTAACTGGGAGTAACTCAGTGCTTATCACAACCCCAGTACACTGTGAGTCCATTGTGTGCCCGATTTAAGTAAAAATACTTCCATTTTGATATGGCGCCTTATCACATCATCAAGACTTCTCAAAACGCTTCACAGGATATACTGTTATAGTGGATTGACTGTGTATTTTGTGACACACAGTTTGCACAAGGCAGTGTCCCAAACAGCCATGGAGTGAATGACCAGTTTTATTTGGGGGAATGTTGGCCAGGACAGCGGGAGAGAAACTCCCTTCTCTTTTTGAATAGTGCGATGGGGTCTTTAACATCCACCTAAACAGGCAGACAGGACCTCAGTTTAACATCTCATCCTCATCAGGACAGCACCTCTGACAATGCAACACCCCCCAGGGCTGCATTGGAGCGTCATCTTACACTACGTGAATCCAAGTCGTGACGTGGGGCTTGAACCCACAACCTCCTGACTCAGAGCTTACCACTGAGCCAGGCTGACACTCAGTCCCGGGACAGAGCAAATCCCAGTGTAACGTGTCCACCTGCATTATAGACAGAAGACATTCCAGCTGCCGGCTGTTTCTCGAAAGGAGGGGAAAAAAAACAAAGCGTTTTCAGTTTTATTTTTTTATTGAAATTACATTAAGCCTTACAAAGTCTGGCAAAAGGTTAACCAGTTCCGATTCTCTCTAACACACATTTTGGTTATCGATCAGATGGGTACAAACGGTCACCAGGCAGTGTCGTCAAGTGCAGCGGTATAATATAATGATGCTACCAGTCTGAGTTCGACTTTTTTTTTAAAAAAAGGGCAGTCCACTTTTCTATTCAGACATTCCAGTTTTTGGTTCCTGAGTGTCTGCAACAAAACACAAAGCAAAGGCTGAAAGCCATTGCTTTGTGCTCGCATTCAGAAAAGAAAAATCAAAACTCTTCCTCCCCCACCCCATAATAATCTGTTACTTTACTACTTTACTCATTTATTTCTCGATCCACAGAAGATTAGTTTCTTGTCTCAGTGGTAAAAGGTGTTACTGGAAGCGAGTTCTTTACAAAAAATGACAGTGATCTGAATATTGCATTAAAACAAAAACAATACCAAATGAGTGCAGAGGTTTACAGTTAAGAAAGGACATGCAAGGACAACTAACACCTTAGTTATCCTGTTCCTCGCCTCCCCCAGCAAACAATCTAGATCAGGAACAAGCTGTAGATGTTCAATATCGCCTTTGTAATACTCCTTGCATCTCCGTTCAGGGCGGGATGACATCTCAAGGTGCTTCTCAAGATTTTATTGTAGTGTGTAGCGACTGTGTATTTTCCAGGCAAACACCAATTGCCCCTTCCCCTGCACCCAATTGCCCCTCTGTTCTGATCAATAATATAGAAACGCGCAGAAGTTCTGGTTAACAAAGAGCTCATTCACATAGCTTTCCCCCCCACCTTTTTTGGAGACTAGTTAATACCTTGTATTTACTTATACCTCACATAAAAAAATAAATGCAGCACTTAAATATAGAGACAAGTGAAAGTTGTTACAGGTAAAACGCAGCAGCCGTACTGAGCCAGCAACGTCCCATAAACAGGATGAGACAACGAGTTTGGGAGTAAGCCTGAACACAGAGCGATCAAGTCAGAACTGGGTCATTCTGTTGCTCGGTGGAACAGCTCGTAAATCTGCTCACTTTAAAGGTCTGGAAAAAAAGGCGTCCCAGTGCCCCAAGTTGGAAAAGGTTTCAGCATATTAGATTAATCCCTCGCAGTTTAACTACAACACAACAGCAACTTGTCTTTACGAGGCACCACTCACATAGAATAATATCTGAATGCTTTATGGCGATGGAGTCGGATGCCACACAAGGGGGAAAAGGGACACCTGACCATAGGTTTTAACAATAATAATCCTTGCATTTGATGTAGCGCCTTATCATGTTGTTGAGACGTCTCAAAACACTTCACAGAATATGTTGCAAAGTGGAGCGACTAAGCATTTTGTGGGCAAAGCAGCAGACAGAGAGGGCGCGAGAGGTTAGGGGTGCAGTGACTGAAAGCTTGAGTGCACAGATTGCCCAATTTAACCCAAGCTTCGAAGATAGTACGAACATCGTTTCTTCGACCTAAAGTGGTTCCAATCCAGAACCATGGTGCTTTCAAAGCCCATTCAGTACAGGATATAAAGCATTAACTGGTGAATCAAACGGTAAAGTGGACAATACCGCAGAAGGCTCCAAAACACTATCGACTCAAGAGGTTGTGAATGTCGGGGCAACACAGCATAACTCATTGAAACAATGTACATGGTTTTTACACTTGTATGTTTCACATCAATTTAGATGTCAGCAGTCACCGAGGCCCTGGAAGGATTTACAATAGATCTCTTGCCCGGCGGGAAAGAGTAACATCGGGAAACTTAGAAAAGAAAGTGATCAGGATAAAATAATTCAAAAACTGAAGTGGGAACAAACACTTTGAGAAACAATAAAATGTAGGTCTACAAAAAGCCACTGGAAAGTGCAATTTATGACATTCCATTCATCCGTTCACAAAACCAATACTGAGCGACCCAAAGGCTCCAAATTTCACCTGGTCTCAGCCTGCAAATAAGTTTTTTTTTGGCCTTAAAACTTAGAAATGAGGCAAATTCGTGAATCCCATCTTAATTTGCAAGGCAGTTCCTTTCTAAGCACAGTGGAAACAAACAGCTTCCAAATTAAGACCAAACAGCAGAAACGTTGACAACCCTACACAACCTTAAATGATAAAGCAAAGACAGGTAAAGAGCAGAGTGTCCAATACTGAACCAGAGGGTGTATTATAAATCAAGAACGCACGTCCACAGCAGTGAAAGCACTCACCTTTGTCTCATACCCAAGAACCATTCCATCACCTGACTCCAGCACAGCAAAAAAAAACTTAGTGTATAGAAGGGAAGACCCAAGACCCAATCCCGAGTAAGCATGGAGACCCAGGTGTGGTGCAATTCATTGGCTAATAACATACACCTCCTTGTTCATTACAGCTTTACTAATTAACAGCAGTGTTCCACGTGCTGCTAACGTCAATGCAATGATCTGATAACGAGCTTGTGTCAACCTCTATTCAGTTGGCTCATGTCCCAGTGCTCTCCTTATTTCATTCCAACATCACAGGTGGTTCCTGGACTGTGCTCCTGTTAAAATCCCATTCGTGACTACAAAAAAAATCCCACAGCTGTTGTGACAATCGCGTTCCATGGGCTTCCCACAGCCTCTCAGCAGAAACGCTGGTTTGGAAATTCGTACTTGCCGATCATGACCTGTAGAAACAGCAGCAAAAGTCAGAACAAACTATTTCTTTGACTTTAACCAATCCAAGTGCCTCAGAGGTGGGGAAGTGCTGTTCATAAAGTGGAGGTTAATAGGTGTTTTCCACTGCCTCAATAATCCACAGCTAGGGTCTTAAACGTGAGTTAGCCAGCAGCATATCTAAGGCAAATAAATCGCATTGATACAACACCCTTCACATCTTCATATGGGGTAGTGTTGTGCAGTGCTTAACATCGGTGGAGTTTGATACCAAGCAGGGGGAAAGGAGGTGACCGTAGACATGGTTGAAGAGGAAAGTCTTTAGGTATGACCTGAAGATGGGAATGTAGTGGGGAAGGCAAGGGGATTGAGGTTGAGAATTCCGGAGTTTTGGGGCGTATGCAGATGAAGAAATACCTTCAGCCCATCTGATCTCATCTTTCCATAACGTCTGCCCATCACTGCATCAAGCTCTTTCTTAAATGAGTCCCGAGCTCAACCACCCTTCCTGGTAATCTGTTTTCCTATCAGTTAGTTACCCTCTGGGTAAAGAAATACTTCCTGTTCAGATGAGGCCCCAGAGTCAGCCATTCGTGAAGTGTATGAAGTGTGCCATTTAATTTCAGTGCCTCTCTCCCTCTCTTTCTTCCACTATCTCACTGCGCTTTGCAGCAATTATCTGTGAAGTGTTTGACATGACAGGTGCTCTATTTAAATACTCTTATTATTGATGTCTACTTTCTCATCAATGCCTTCCCTTCTATACCCTTTAGACATAGTGTTCAAAGCGGAGGTTGGAAGAATATTATTTTTTCACACTTAGTCTTAGTAGGAGAGGGAAATGTGGTCCTGCAAACGGCTGCGGAGGCCAATTCATTTATAACATTTGGAAAGGAATTCAATCGATGGAATGAAGGCACGAAAATAAAGGGTTTGGGGAACGAGCAGTGAAATAGGATTAAGAGATAGGTCCAGTCGAGTGCTTGGTAAAGCACAGATATTAATGATACCAATGTCCTGCAAAATCTGGAACACTCTTCCTCTATCCCTCCACCTTGCCCCTTCCGTCCCAACCTTCAGGTCAGGTCGTGCCTGACGCCCTTCCTATTCGACCGTGCCTATGGTCACCTCCCCCACCCCCCCCGAGCTTGGTACTGTCAAGTGCTTTGGGATGTTACCCTGTGTGAGGGGCACTGTATTATAAATGAAAGTTGTTATCATTTTTATTCACTGTATACTGGATATTGTGTTTTGAGCTACCTTTGTATTGTGCTCTCTCTGTTCACAGTCCAAGTCCCAGGTGTTTACACGGTACACAGGAATCAGACTCCACGTTGAGTTGAATGTGTCAGTAATAGCTCGGCAGTGCTCGTTTCCCAGCCTGCACTGATCTTTGAAAATGTAAAGGGAATAGCCTTTCACTTGCTGTTTGCGAGGCATTTGCTGTGAGCAAACTGGCTGCCATGGTCGCCTACAAAATACAGTCACTACACTCTGCAGTAAATCCTGTGATGGGCTTCGAGGCATCCTTCCAACATGAAAGGCGCAATATCAACTGCAGGATTATTATTATATATTATACATTATGTACAATGAATAATGAATAAGAAATGATCCTAGCTTTGAGTACAGCACCTTTCATGTCGGGGAAAGATGTGTTCACCGGATTTACTGTAGAGTGGAGTGACTGTGTATTTTTGTAGGTGAACGCCGCAGTCAGTTTGCGCACAGCAATATCCTGCAAACTGCCATTACCTGAGGGATTGCTGGCCAAGACACCGGGAGAAACCTCCCTTCACTGCGCGGAAACCGCAGCTTAAACACAGACACGTTCATAGAAAAACAAAAGTTATCAGTGACGCTCTGTGGGCGGTTGCCTTGTCTGAATGTGCCACCTAGAGACACAAAGGTGCAACAACAGCTGAGAAAGCGGGGTGTCCGGGCAGAGAGCTGCAACAGGAAGCACAGCATCGCTCCTGAAATTCATGTAGGATGAAGACTCGGCTTTGCTCAGAGGACAGGAGTATTTTGTGCCTCCTGCAAATCTCACGAGCTCCTGAGAAATATTAATCATGATAATTAAACCTGGCGTTTGGTGCAGAGTCTTTCACGTCAGGAGGACGTTCCAAAGCGCTTCACAGGATTTATTGTGAAGTGGAGTGACTGTGTATTTGTGGGCGATGCTCCTCAACCCACATCGCTCTCCACTGAGCAGCTGCCCTCCACCACTGCCCTTTAATTGTTTGTTTGAACGATTAGAATACAGAGCTCCGGCCAGGAGAGGGATTGCCTGCTCCAGTCTGCGAACTCCTTGGAATCTCGATGGAGGAGCCAACAACGTCTCACCTGAAATGTAGACTCGGATGAATTTTGTGATTTTTAATTTGATATTGATTAATGCCAGCAGTGGCTTCACAGTGATGGAGTGCAATAATAGTCTGTGTGTTTGGTACTGAGCCTAGATGGGGAACATAGTCTGCATATTTTATATATATATATATATAAAAATCATTGCATTTAATATAATGTCTTTTACCTCAGGAAGATGTTTCATGGTGCTTCACATGATTTACTGTAAAGTGCAGTGACTGTGTATTTGGTGGGCGACACGCAATGTGTGCACAGCAACGTCCCACAGACAGCCTTGAAGTGAATAGTAATAATCCTTGCATTTTATAAGAGCGCCTTATCACGTCTTCAAGACGTCTCAAAGAGCTTCACTGATTATACTGTAAAGTGTAGTGACTGGATATTTTGTGACCAATTTTATCTGGGGGAATGTTGGCCAGGACACTGGGAGAAACTCTTTCTTCACTTCTCAGATAGCGTCATGGGATCTTTAACATCCACCTGAACTGGCACAAACAGGACCTCGGTTTAAATCTCATCCAAAGGACAGCACCTCCGAGAATCAAGCACCACACACACCCCAAATACACTGGAGTGAGGGCCAGCCTAAACTTCGAGCTCAAAGTCCTGATGTGGGACTTAAACCTATGATCTTCTACTGAAAGGCAAGAGTGCTACCTACTGAGCCAGGCTGACAACTATAACACACAAATCAGAATTTTTTTTTTAAAAAAAGGCAAACTTGCCACTTTTAATACTTACTGTGTTATTTTACAATTCTTGGTCGAAACATACCGCCCTGTGTAGTGAATGTTGCATCTGATGACATTGTTTGTGAAATCTGACTCTTGGACAAGATAATTGGGGTTTACTTGAAGCTGCAATACAGAAGACATGAGACGTTCAAAAGCACGTCAATTGGGAATGTGTTACACAATGTCGTAACGTGTTACTAACATGTCAATACCACGGTCAATAATTAACAAGTTAATAAGACGTCGCTTTCACCCGTGTTATACCTTGAGAATGTACGTTCCTGGCTGGACGTCTGTGATATCAATCCATTGACAATCAATGTCGGCGTTGTATGTGTCATAACAGCCAGGGCTCAGCCCCTGAAAGAGAACCAGAGAACAGGTTTAACATTGCACCAGTGTAATACATCCAACTCAACAGAAGAACGTAAGAAATGCTTGGTAAAAAAAAGACCAAGGTTCATCTAGTTCGCCTTCCACTTTCGCCCTGTCCGGGAATCAAAAATTGGTCTCTGACTTCCGAGTCGAGCGCTCTAACCAATGCGCTACAGGACTTCACCTGAGCTCATTACACATTTCGAGGCCCGTCATCCACTCTTGTTAAAGCCACAGGCCGGTAAGAATACCAGGCAGAAGGTCTGCTCACTGGTCCCCGGTATTGTCAGTCAGGGCTGCAATTGGCCTCAGTGCTGCTGGCATTAAGGAGGAGGAAAGGTCAGGCTGGGTGCCAGTTCCTGATGGGAACGCAGTGGTCCCTATAGCACAGCACACATCGCTGCACGTCAATGGCAGGACAAGGTCACACTTGGTTGTCATGTCCCGGCCCCTGAGGTTTACTTATAAAGACCGGCCACTCAGGCCAGGTGGTGGTGGGCTGACACCTGACACTCCACAAACAGCCATGGAGTGAGTGACCGATTTCATCTGCAGGGATTGTTGGCCAGGTCACCGGGGGAGAGAGAAACTACTTTCTCTTTTCGAGTAGCGCCATGGGATCTTTATCGTCCACCCGAACAGACATAGAGCTCGGTTTAACGTCTCAGCCGAAGTACGGCGTCTCCGACAAACGGACTGAGCGTCAGCCTAGACCCTGAGCTCAAAATCCCCACGTGGGGTGCGAGTCCACAACTGAAAGGCGGACAGCGTGACCGAGCGAGCCAGGCTGACTGACTGACTGAGACTGACCCCTGTCTCGGGATGGCTGGTGAGTGAATGGCGCTGCACTGGTGACACTGCTCACCTGCGTGTGCGATGTGCACGCATAACGCTTCAAGTGACCAAAGTCACAGGTTGTATCTTCCAGGCAGAAGCTGGCCTTGTGGCCCTCAGCGACTTTCCTCCCGGTAGCTGCATCCAGCAGGTCATAATGACTGAACTCATCCATGCTGTGGTAATGCCTGGGAAACGGGAGAGAGAGTTAACGACCGACACTCAACTAGTTTGTAGTTGTGAAAAGAGCCACATGTCTTTTCTCAGCAACTACCATCAACACCTCTCATCATCTCCTGCCCTCCAACTAATTTTTTCCTTTGCCTTTCTCCGCCCCAGCCCCACACCCCCTTCTCTGCTTGTCCTGATAATCTGCTCCCTTCCAACATACCCCAGTTCTGACAAGAGGTCATCGTCCTAAAACGTTAACTCACTTTCCTCTCTCTATAGATGCTGCTTGACCTGCTGAGTGTTCCCAGCGACTACGTTTTTTATTTCAGAGTCGGTGGGTTTGGGGAAAATGAGGTTCATGCAATGACTTGTTATATGCAGTACCACGAACACGCAAAATCGCTGAGGGTGGTGTGAACGCCAGCAATGCTCACTATATCTCCGCTACAATCCTGATCGATCTGTGTCGTGTTTGATGGCAGTTCGTGCTTTTTAAATGAGTCCCCGGGTCCTGATCTCAACCGGCCTTCCTGGTAATTTGTTCCAGTCGTTAATTACCCTCCGAGTATAGAAACGCTTCCTGGTGTCTGCTCTGAAACTGCCCTTTGTAACGCTAAACCTGTGTCCTTTTGTTCTTCTGTTTTGGTGCTTCCTGAAGTACTGTTCTGGGTTTGATTTTTCAATCCCATTTAAAATTATATACTCCTCTGTAAGGTCCCCTCTGAGCTGATTTCTCCCAAGACTGAAATCTTGGAGCTCAGGCCATCAGTCCCTGAACAGTAAACTTCCAATCTCAAACCAAAATAGCAGATCCTACAGCTTATAATGTTTTGCCCCAGTAAGGGAAGGGTTTCCATATAAGATAATAATCTACACACTGAGTAATAGTTATGCAATGTTCTTTCACCTCAGCCAGTACGAAGCATGAGGTGGTCTCGCTTTGCTACTGAAGTCCTGCAGCTCAGTGGTTAAAGCACTCGCTTTGCAAGCGAGAGACCTGAGTTCAATTCCAGGTAGAGGGCGAAACCTTGGGCAAGTTTCCTTACTCCACACAGAGCCTAATAATAATCCCTCCAAAACCCAAAACAATAATAAATTGGTCATTTTCAATCCACGACTGTTTGTGGGACATTGCTGTGCGCAATTGGCAGCCGCGTTCGCCCACAAATATACAGTCAATTCGCTTTACAGTGTGTTCTGTGAAGCGCTTTGGGACGTCCTCCTGACGTGAAAAGCGCTATATCAAATGCAAGGATTATTATTATTATTATGTGCAAAACTTAAATAGCCCCACATCAAGGACTATACCTATTTCCCCAGAAATCTAGGGGTCATTAATAATTTAATCCTTGCATTTGCTTCAGCGCCTTATCACATCTTTGAGACATCTCAAAGCGCTTCACAGAATATATCGCAAAGTGAATTGACTGTATATTCTGTGGGCAGAACACGGCAACCAACTGTGCACAGCAGTCGTGGATTGAATAACCAAATTATTATTATTAATAATAATTATAATATTAATACTAATTATAACACTGTGACAGTCTGGCTATTTAATAACATTGTTCTTGTTTTCCTTCAGGAAGTGTAGAGAGTGGATTTTTCGCTGAGTGCCAATTGCCCTGACCTGGGTGGACCGTGAATGATGGCAAAGTAACACTGACCAGAGATGGGGAATAGGAAGACAGCCGTGTGCAGTTCCAATGATCTTCATGCGCAGTGTGCGTTTTACCAAGTAAAGGAAGTTTGCGTGCATTCCAATGATAAGTCTCTTTGCTCTGACTGCATCTGCTTCCAGGAGATATTTCCAAGCACCAGTCAAGTTGAAACAAGCTTCATCGTTTGCCTGGAACGTATTTTCCACTGGAAAGATTTCACTAAAATATCTGCCATCTGGACCACTGCATTACCATTCAGAACATCCCTCTCTCCCTCTGATCTGGCATTATACAGCCTTGTGTCATAACTGTCTCAGGAGATCATAGAATCATAGAATTACACAGTCCAGAAGGAGTCTGTGCCGGCTCTTTTAAAAGAGCTATCCAAATCAACCCCACTCCCCCGCTTTCTCCCCATGGCCCTGCAAACTTGTCCTCCCCAAATAATTATCTATGTAAAACACATCAGTGTTGTGAGTCAGAAGGTTGAGTATAACGGAGGTTGCATTAATAATCCTTAATAATTTTTGCACTTGGTATAGCGTCCTTCACGACAGGAGGATTCCCAATTTTATGTGAGGGATTGTTGGCCAGGACACCGAGAGAAATTCCTTTCTCTTTTGGAACAGCATCGTGGAGTCTTTAACATCCACCTGAACAGGCAAACGGGACCTTGGTTAAAGATCTCACCTGAAGAACAGGATCTCGCAATGCAGCTCCCTCCTTCCTTAGACCAGGATTTTGTCCAGGACCACTCCCCCCTCCCCTCCCCTCCCCACCACCCCTCCACCCCTCCGCCGCTCGCTAGATCACCTTTAAATGTTACGTTATGTTAACATTTCTGAAATAGGGCATCTAAGCTCAGGTTACATCACCCTGGCGTAGACTATGTGAGTTTCAGTCCCCAATGTGGGATATGAATTCCCCAACCTCTGACTCAGAGGCGAGAGTGCTAACACTGAGCCAGGCTGACACACAATGAAAAGAAAATGGAAATGAATGGCCAGTTTTGTAGCCCAGCGCTGGGGAATGGGTTTTTATGACTTTGTGAAACGGGAAATGAAGGAAACAAATAAAACAGTGGGTTCAGAGTAACCCTCATTAGGTCAGCAACGAGCTCTGCATTTTACAGCTTACAAAGTACCCCCCCTGCGACCCACACCCCCATGTGCACGCACGCACACACACACACACACACGCACAAAACGTGATCTTGTTTAACAAACAGCAGGAAGCCTACTGGACAAGAGTTTGCAACGGTAAGCTGTTAGTTTCAGATGGTTAAACTCCGCCATGTTACCCCCACCTGTCCTTCCAGAACACCCACTCTCCCATCCTCCCATCACAGAACCGAGCTATATTTAAATGAGTCCCAGTATCTTGGCCTCAATCACCCTTCTCGGTAACCTGTCCCAATTGTTAATTGCCCTCTGCATAAAGGAATACTTCCTAAAATTTTATCTTTTGCAAGTCTAAGACCGTATTCACCTTGCCCCCCATCTCGCCCCATTTTCAGGTCGCGCTTGAAGACCATCCTCCCCTCCCCCGGCTCGGCATCGGGCTCCGCCACTGTTAAGTACTCCGAGATGCCGTCCGAGGTGAAGGGCGCTATATAAATGCAAGTTGTTGTTGCATTCTCTCCTCTGCTGTCTCGGATTAACTGTTGTTAACTCAGAATTAACTCAGCAGTCAAAAAGGCTGATAATTTAATAATAATAATCCTTGCATTTGATATAGCGCTCTTCACGTCTTCTAGACGTCTCAAAGCCCTTCACAGAATGTACTGTGAAGTGAATTGACCGTATATTTGTGGGCGAAACTTGTAGCAGAGGTTTGTAGCAGAGACCCTATAATCGCTGTGTTACATTTTACTTACACTGCAGCTTATAGTCAGGGGTGGATCTAGCTATAGGCGATCTAGACAGCTGGCTAGGGCGGCAGATTGCCTTGACAGCTTCTGAAATTGGGACAGGAGTAGCCATTCAGCCCCTTGAGCCCGTCCCACTATTCTATTAGAACACGACTGATCTGTACCTCAGATACTGATCTGGAGGTATCGATCCTCTCTGGAATCTTTGTCTGGAGGTAGTTTTGAGACAGGCAGGTTTCCAACCACAATTAGAAGGGAGTTTCTCCTGGTTTCCATGCCAACGGACCTCCCGGATTCATGCCTTTTCATGGAACATTCCTGTGCAATTTGGCCACTGCCTTCACCAACAAATACACAGTCGCTACACTATATGCTGAACAATGTGAAGTGCTTCGTGACATTTTGACAACGTGATAAGGCGCTAAGTCAAATACAAAGAATTGTTGGGTTTATAAATGATTAAAAAGGAAACAATGGGTCTCGTGAGATCATCACCAGTGATAATTATCCCAACAACCGAAAGATAATGAAGCCAAAAACAGACCATAGTTAGCATTGCCCACTGTCCTTCCCTACAGGTGGAGATAAATACCCCTGGTGTTTGGCTGATGCTGTAATTATCATCAGTGATAATATCATATCATAGTAATAAACCCTGCATTTGATCCAGTGCCTTATTATGTTGAGAGGACATCTCAAAGCGTTTCAAGGGATTTATTATAAAAGGTAATGACTGTGTAAGTTTTAGACCAACTTGCACACATCAATGCCCCACAAACAGCCGTGAAGTGAGTGATGAATTTTATCGAGGGGAACGCCGGGGGGAAAAAATCCCTTCTCTTTTCAAGTAGTGCCGTGGGATCTTTCAATCCTTAATGCCAAATCTTCCTGCCTCCTCCCTCCCCAAATAAATCCAACGCAAACATGGTTCAGCAAAACCATAGCGGCTTAATGACAGCTCTGCAGTTGGCCTTTGAGCACTGGAGTCCTGTAGCTCAGTGGCTTAGAGCACTCGCCTCGCAAGCGAGAGACCTGGGTTCAATTCCCAGGCAGGGGGAAATGTTTGGCAAGTTTCCTTACTCCACACGCCTCTGTTTACCTAGCAGTAAATAGAAACCTGGTTGCTAGTCAATTGGCGGATCGCTCTTCTGGTGTTAATAATTCATTCAAGAAAATAATTCAATAAATTGGTCACTCAATCCACGACTGCTTGCGGGACACTGCGAATGGCTGTTGCATTTGGCACACAAAACATACAGTCAATTCACTTTACAGTATATTCTGTGAAGCGCTTTGAGATGTCTTGAAGACATGATAAAGCTCTATCTCAAATGCAAGGATTATTATTGTCGCTCAGGCCCATGTAGATGTGAAAGGGTTAATTTGTTCATTTGGCTGCTCCAGCGAAGGAGAGACTGGCTGTAACATTTGCTAATAAATGAGACTGCTTCAACCATAAACAAAACAGAATAACTCACAGCTTCTG